TGAAATAAAATAAAATTATAAAGAATCGATTCAAATTTATTAAATACCATATATCTGTTTATCTGTACATACATATATGCTTCTATATAACCATCCATATCTATATACATTATAGATATGAACATATCTACGTAGGATATATAGTAGAAACATAAATCCATATATATATATATATATATACGTGCTCGAAAGCAAGCAAAACTAATGTTGGCAATCGATAGCGAATTGAGTGCTAGACCGGAAACAACACGTTCATATGTTTATATGCATATATTGTATTTTTAAATAATATTTTTACGTATAAACACCTTATTTTTAAAATGTTTATATATCCGCTAAATTAAACACTAACTTTCACTTGCTTTTAAAATTCTCTCTTCGAGCAGATAGATGGCAACAAATAAATAATAAAAAAAACAATTATAAGTAAAAAACAAGAAAATTTTTAACAAATAATTATTTATAAATTATTTATAAAACCAATCAATATGAAGCAAAGAAAAAGAGAAAAGAAAATGAGAAGAAAACAAAAGAAAATGAGAAAAAAAAAAGAAAACGAAATATGTGCAAATTCTGTTTATATTGTTCTACTATGTGTTTGTGAATTTTTCTCACGCGCCATTACCATTTGAAAAAGGCGTTCTAAGGAATTCCGAACGTCAGTTAATCAACTAATAAGCTGACGTCATAATATTTATATAAATTTCTTTCCAAATAATAATTATTTTGTAACAGTTGAGAGAACTTACTTTGCCTTATATTGATTTTGAAGATCTCTCTCAATCACTTATCACATCACATTGAATATGCTATTGAGTTGACTTAGTTGACACTCTAATACAAAGCGTCACTTCCATTGATTTTTTAATTCATTCCTTATTTGCTGAGAAGAATGTCAACACTCATAAAAATTGCTACTAAAGTCGATTTATTGGGTCGAATAATAAGTAATTACCGTTATTTTATTATATTATCGCTAATATTATGTAGGACGATCTCCCATCTTCCTGCCAGTTTATCAATTTTTTTCCTGTAAGATGTGGTTGGTTTGGACTGGAAGAAAAAATTCGACAGCCTGATGGACTTGCTCTTCAGAATTGAAGGCTTTTCCATTCAAAAAGTTATGTAAGGAACAGAAGAGGTGTTAGGCGGGTGTAGCAAGGTCCGGGGTATAAGGTGGGTGTACTTAAACAAGCTTAAGAATTTTTTCTTGAGTGACCCTTATTGTATGCGGCGCACCGCCGTGCAAAAAACAGATGTATTTGCGATTGGCGAGTGCAAGACGCTTTTCATGGAGTTTCTGTTGCACTCTTTACAGCTACTGGACGTACTTATCCGCTGTAATCATTAAATTTGATTTCAAGAGTTATTAGTTAAGTATACCTTGACAATCCCACCATACAGGCATTAAAATCTCTTTGATATGGGTATTCGCTGTCTGGTAAGGATGATGATCCTTATCCGACCGTTGTCTTTTGCGGACGATGTTGTCATAGGCAACCCATTTTTTGCTAACTGTTACCAAGGCGCTATTGTCTTCTTAAAATTGCATGTAATACAAATCGGATATGTATTTCTTGTCTATCCATTTCAAAGATTAAGAAAAACAGTTGAACGTAAAATGCACCGCATAAAACAGTCGACAGAAGACTAACTGAATCCTCACCTACGTAGTGAAAACAAACACTGGTCTTACTAACCACCGCACAGCACTTTTTGCCTAGCGACCACTTACTTGTTAAGTGTATCCTTAATAACTCGAGTAACTTGAAAAACGAATATCTTTGTACAAATAGCTAGAAGCTTCTATCGAATTGTTAGCTTCATTAGGTAGGTGAAGCATTACTTGCTTCCTCGTACCGTAAAATCTGAAACCGGGCAACTATGCGTGGTCTGCTTTTGCGATGGATTGCAACATCTCATGTAATTGTAACCAACTTATCTTACTCGATACTAGAGTTCCTGCTGTGATCTTTAAATCTACAAAATTATTAACAGAATAAATTCGTCAAGATAACGAAAAAAAATCCACAAACATGGGTGAGAAAACAGCAAATTCCTCTTTAGGACCAGACCAGATGTAATAGCATTCGTCAATGTTATAACAGAGCAAAGACATTTCAACTGACATAGCATTACTTTAGCCCTATCTTGAAACGACTTCTGCAGAAACTGTCACAATTCGTATAGATTTAGATCTCTTAGGCACTTTGCCTACTCTACTAAGGTAAATGGTGATTGTTGGATGAGACATTCTCTAGTTCACCAACATCGTTTTAATTGATATTAGCTATCCGTTCAAGTTCGGTTTTCTTTCTAAACCTTTCTTACCTAACAGAATCTCTTCAGTACGTGAAAAGGCGGCGTTCGATCTATTCCAAGCATTTAGCTCATCTTTAGGGATGTAACTAACGTATTGTTCTTCTTTACCACATTTCTAATTTAATTGCAACTTCAAGAAACTGGCTAGAAGAAACGATAACATCAACCTCGTTATTTAGATCGATCAAAAATATTTTTTTATGATGCGCATAATAAATAATACAAATTAATATCCACTTTATTGTTATTCTTCTATGTACGCTTTTTAGATTGTTTACATTATATTGCTACATTTCTAGCACGATAAGTTTTTTTGGCTCATATGCGATACGGTATATGCAAAGCTCATCTGACGAAGTATCCGTTTTTGATGAAAACATTTTTTCGAGCTCAAAAGAAAAAAAAAATTAAAAAATAGAAAGGAAAAAAAAACCATCCAGGTCATTTTACGCTTACAATCACCTACACTTCCTCGTCTCTCATCTCTTTTAAACGGAAAATAACATTTTGAACGACATTTTCGAGCGCGTTATCCAAACCATTTAGATAATCTTGGGATAGTATTAGAGATAAATTGTGGAAAAGATACGAACGCATCACTTTTAAAATATAAAAGAATTTACTTTCCCTTAAATGGAAGACATTTGATTATCTTAAAATAGGAGAAGCATAAAACAAGAAACATAAAATACTTTTTTCTCTTTCTTAAATCACATAAATCAACCTTAACGCTACTTAATGCAATTTTGAATGATGTGACAATAATATTATATATCAGCTAAAATGAAAGGGAAATTCCCAACGTCAATAGCAAATCAAATAAGAATCACTAAATGCATAATAACAGAGAAAAACGCAATAAAATATTTATAATGCATACTTTTCATATCTCGATATATATATTTATTGAAATAGTACATTTATCAGAAAATATCTATTTTAAGTGAAAAAGACTGCAAATCATAGAAGAGAGCAAATTAAATTTAGTTAAGGTGTCTCAGGAGAAACAAGTGAGTATTAAGTTTAATGAAGATACAGTGTTATAATGTATCTGTAGGATTTGTAAGGAGAGATACAATTTACTATAAAGAAAATAAAGAAAATACTAAAAAACAGGTGATTTCCTTAACGATAAATATTTTAGAGATGAACAAAGAGCAACGTTAGATGAAAATGTAAAACAAAGAAAATTGCATAAAAAGAAGTACAAAAAGGAAACTTACCACAAAAAATCTTCGCAAATTCTTTTCAATACTTTAATTTCAAATATTAACCTTAGTTAAGAACAAATTTCTTTAACGGGAAATATGTTTTAAAACTGCTCTCTTTCTTTTTTATTCTACAGCAGTAGCTTTTGGCTATGACGTTTTCTTTTCTTTTTTTTTTTTTTTGCTTTTAAGGGTGATTAATTTTTTCTTCTTCGCTTATCACACTATTTGTATAAGGCTTCACTTAACTTTTTTTTTTTGCACTTTTATAACCATTCTATTTCTGTTTTCGTTTATATTATTGATTACAATTTTTATGATGAAATACCTTCTAAATAACGGCGTTAAATCCTTTTTTCTACCGTCCTAATACCGAATAAGCAACAGGCAACAATCGTTCACTTTTGATAATGATTGCCAACAGTCAAGCAGAAAATGAATCTTGTTGATTAACAAAAAAAAAAAAAAAAAAACAGGATTTTTTATTTAGGAATTTGTTATTCATTAAGGAATTTTAATTTCTAATTCTGAAGACTGTTTCATTCTGTAAAACATTTTGTTTTATTTCATCTAATGAAAATACTAGAATTGACGAAAATGTTATAATAAATTTGCCAAAATTTATGATTCAGTTTTCATTTTAGCTTTATTGAGATGTTTTGTCAAGATTACACACCATTTCCCAAATGTATTTTTCCATATTTCAACCGAATCGAAATGTACAATAATTTTAATATCATATTTGTTTCTTTTTTGATTCTTACCCCAGGTAAAATAGATAACTTTTTTTTAGTTCTTAGTCTTTTATAAAAAATCAAGAAACAATTACTTTTCTGCAGACATTTAAAATAAACTTTCCTCGGGAAAATTACTCGTTGCATATCTGATTGTTATCACTTAGGGAAAACACACAATGAAGCGTTATTCCCATTTTCGGCTTGTGGCTTCAACTTTGACGACTTTTTACAAATTTAATGTGAATTGACAAACCATATGGTTTTGGATGTATCATACAAATAAAACAAAAAAAAAACAACACAGAAGCAATAAAAACATATTAATATTTGAAATTATTTGTCTAATTTACGTTTACCTTACACTAATGTGATTTGCAATTTGGGTTTATACTATGCCCCGTTTTATAAGAAATGAGAGACAAGCAATAAAGAACATTTATTTTAAAATTGAAATATATCTATCAAACTGTTTTTTAGAGAGTGATAGTATACGAATTATGGATCAATTGATACGCAAAAAAATATATATTATATATATTTAGATATATCTAATCAATCTTCTCTATCGCTAATAAATTAACAAACTTGCTTTTTTTTCCACTAATTTTCTTAATGTTGTTTTTTACAAAGTTGTTGTTTGTGTTTACGTTGGTTTCTTTATTTTTGCTTACACTGTCCTATAACATATGGGAAGTAAGCTTTTTATCAAATCCCAACATATTTACGCTTAACACCGTAAACTGATATCTAGGCAACACTAATGGCTCACACTTTTACATTATCATGATTATATTTTTTAGTTAACATAAATAATATTGCAAACGAACTCATTTAAAATAGGTGGATTTGAATTAGACGTAAATCCGAAATCTGGTCGGGTAACTCTCACCACTAAGCGGATTCATAACATGATCACATTTTAATCAAAAGATAAAATGGATATGAATGGAAAAAATTTGTTTAGAAGTGATCCTTTCCCAATTTTAATGTTCAACTATACAAAGCCTTCTATCTCAAAACAATCTCAGCCCGTTAGCTGCTTAAAGTGTAATATAATTTTCAGTTTTCCTTTAGGGAAAGAAGATTATTTGGGTCATTTGTTCTTATCCCACCGTTTGGTTATAGCCGATGTGGAAGAAATAGCACTTTTAGAAGAATACCTGGAGTTTTGGCAAAAGGAGTTCAAATGTCACGAATTCGAGGAATATTGTACTACCATGTTATTGGATCAGCTACCAGATGGCACATATTCAAAAAATGAAAAATATTATCTCTTAAGTGATATTCTTCCTAAGGATCGTGAATTAAGAGATAAGTTGAAAGAAAAACATTTGGAAAAGGTGTTGTCTCAACATCAACACGAATTGACAGATCGGACTTTCCAACGAGAATGTTTATATTGTCGCGATGTCATATCAGGATTGAGATCAACCTACATAGAACATTTATTTAGCAAGCACTTCCTTCAACTGGGCAAATCTGAAAATTTGGTGTTCATAGATGAGTTGGTAGCAAAGGTTGCTAATAATTTGGAAAAATTGATATGTTTGTATTGCGAGAAAAAGTTTAAAGATCGAGCCACTCTCAAAGAACATATGCGCAAAAAAGGTCATAAACGTATTAATCCTAACAACAGATCATACGATAAATACTTCCTAGAGAATTATCGGGTAAATCAAGTGCATGTCACGAAACATTTATCATATCCACATAAAACGAGACAAAAGCCTGCTGATAAGAATCAACACAAAGAAGCGATATGTTCTTCGAAAAACAGTGAATGTGTTAGCTTTAAGCAAAACCAAGCCAGTGAAGACAGTGATTCAGATTGGTCTGATTGGAACGCAGAGTCTCTGCAAACCTTAACCTGCCTGTATTGCATCGAACAGTGCAAAGATTTTAATACGTTTAGACATCATTTGCTGGCAGACCATAATTTGGATTTCGATAGCTGTTTAAAAGGTTTAAACTTTTATCAAAGAATTAAGATAGTTAACTATGTTCGCCGGCAGACTTATCAACACCGTTGTGTTACTTGCAATAGAAGTTTTAAAAACAATAATGAACTATTGCAACACTTGGAAAAGGAAGCACATTATGGTGTCGGTGAACGAAAGCAATGGGATAAGCCAGAATATTTTTTCCCCACTTATGAAGATGATGGTTTACTTTGCATATTAGATGATAATCCCAATGATGATATGGACGAGACTGTAGTAAGGATTATTTCCGAAGAATCAAAGGCCGAAATAAACAAAGATGCTGAGAAATTATCTTTAGAGAATTTCAATTTTCTTTAGCTTTATGTACATATATTTCTTAAATGACTAAAGTATACAAATAAATCTTATTAGTTAATTTAAAAACTTAAATTGCTGTTCCTCTTTCCAGATTCTGCTTTATCTCAGCTGTGTGTTCGCCGTAGAAACGCTCTAATTTCTTATTAAATTTACTGTTTCTTTCATTGATAAAGTCCACATCCGCGTCGTCATTGTAAGTGCGTCTCCTGGAGTACTTTTTACGTTTCTCTATTTGCTGTTCTAGATCTTTAACCATATTGTTAATGGCATCGGGCGAATCTTTAACCAATCCGTGAAGTACAGTATTTGGACCACCATAAAATGCTTCTCCTAAATCCTGTCTTTGTTTTTCATATTTTTTCATGTCACGTGTAGGCATATTTTTTACTAAACGAGCGTACTGCCGTGCTGTCTGGGCTTCAAAAGTGGCGAATCCACCATCTGGATTCTTCTTTCTTTGTTTGCGTTCTATTCTTTCAGCATCAATTGCAGATATTTGCAACAATTTTAGGCGATCATAATCCTTGCCTTCGGCTTTTGCCTCTTCACGAGCTTTTTCATCAGCCATAATCCAATCGGCTTGACGTTTTCGGGCTTCCCAATTGTTGGGTAACTTTTTCCGAGCATCTTCAGCTATTACTTCCTGATGATTGTGTGTACGAGCTTCTTGTCGCATTTTGTGTAAATTTCTTAGGCGCTCTTTACGGTCAACTAATTTCTGTGCGGCGGTCTTCTCTTGTTCCATAATTATATACTTTTAATGTTATTAGTAAAAATATAATTAAACTTCCTTTTTCTGCTCTTTTTTTCCTTTTGTTTACGCACGTCGCACTCTCGATAAATTAACAGCCTTACTCAGGCATTATTATAGTTCAAGTGTCATAAAATTCGTGGTTGTGTATAACTGTCATTATTTCACTGCACCAAATTTCGTATTTTGACGCAAAGCTAGGAACAAAATCCCCAGCATCAAAAGTGCGTTAAAAAAGAGCTGTTAACTTATAAAACATAAATTGAAAGGTAAATTACGACGTAGTGTTCAGAGAAGCAAATTGAAGTAAAATTGCTAATATATTAATTCAATATAATAATTTTTACCCCTATTGTAATGTTTTAGCAATCTGGTGAAATTGATTAATAAATAAATTCATAAAAAAATCAAGAAATTATATAAAAATTTTTTTCATAGGGCTACTTCACTATTTGCTATTTTCTACAAACTTGCAGAGAAATATAAAATTTATTTTTCTTCATTTTCTGTAGACTTTTCTTTTGTATTTTCTTTCAATTTTTAAAAATCTACGAGTAAGCAAGAGCGGCTTTTGTTGCACTTCACGGAAATACCTGCTGCTATACTATTCACTTTATAACGTTATTTGTGGCAGATGTGAGATTTTTCCTGAGGATAACGCCTGTCATGGATCTAAGCAAAATGTAATTTTTTGTTTTTTTAAGTAGAATATATATGTAAATTTCATATGCATATACATATCTAAATTTGTTGGTAAACATCTCTTTGATTAAAAAAAATAGATTAATTTGCGTTTTGATATATTCACTTATGATATTATCTTTGTTAAAACAGAAATTTTTATTTTTTAAGATTCCTATATGCGCTTCATATTCGCGTTGAACCTTCCTTAGCCGTTGTTGACTTGATGAATTTTACAATAAGAAGAAGAACTTTTACAAATACGGCAACATCGTATTACCTTAGCTGTGGTACAATTTCATAAGTTAACCGCCCTTCTTGACTTTCCTGTGAAAAGTAAACAAATAAATGCAGAAATTTACACGTAAAGAGATATTTCTTAAGGCAAATACTCTAAATTGTGTGCCCATCATACTGCAAGGTCATGGAGTTTTAATAGATTTACGAAATGAGTGTTCGGTTGCTGGTCGTATTGATAACGCGGACGGTCATATGAATATAAATTTGATTGAAGCTGTTTTTATAGATCGACTACAGAGGCAGCACGCTTTTGAACAATTTATGGTTAGAGAAAGGATGATAAGACAGATACATATACCTCCGCATATTAATATTACTCAGGAAATACGCGATTGGTGCGAATCTGGTTGCGGACGTCCAAAAATAAAAATCAACAAAAAGAGAACATTTAAAGAGAAACGAGCCCAAGTAAAACATAAACAAATTTTAGATGAAATTGCCCAAAAGCAGAAATAGTAAACTGAAACAGAAACGCAATTTAATTGTGAAAATTGATTTTTATATTTATATAAACATGTAGGCATACTAGAGAAAAAAAATCAAATAAGATTTAATAAAGTATAGGCTAACGGTAAGAGGAGCGCTGCTTTCGCGTTCGATATACCAAATAAGGCCATAAAAATTTTCCATAATCCATAGTAGAAGCCCAATTGTACAACTACATGGATACCTAGTAAACTGAATAATAAACATAAATGAAATAAATATCGCAGTTGTTTGATTAATGTTGCTCACATTTTATCTTTACGTCTGGCAGCTGGCAGTGTCTTGGGAGATTCTTTACTCAAATATTCACGCACTCCCATTATGGTGTTTTCGAAGTATTCATCCCAATTTAATTCAGCAATATCCAAGAAGAAGCGTTCCTGGTCTTGCGCCGAAATATTTTTAGCCAAAGCCATTGTATGCTTGTTGCTGTAATGCCATTCGGTGAAGATAAATTTCTCTAAAGTATTCAAAGAATTCCAGACGCTCTTATGTAAACGTATTAAACTGCAAGTGAACAATTAATTAATGTCTAAAAAATTAACGCAATATCCTTGAAAGGAAGGTAATATTACATAGGTCTGCCGCCCATTACACGAGTTAGTAAATCTAAGAAGAAGCCGGGCAAAAAATGATAGAGTATGGCGCCCAATCGGAATAGAGTTAAACTTTTAACTAACTTCAGTTTTGGATACCTGAAATAGCATTCCAAATCAATTTTACGAATTTCCAATAAATCTGAATTCTTTATCACTTACCAAACAGCTGAAACCAACGGGTAGTCGTGTAAATAATCATTCATCTTATTAATTAACATCTCGAAACGGAATGGCTTATATGTGCTTGAAGTCAAATGAAATATTTGTAGTTCACCTGGTTTGTCGCCATTTTGCTTCCTAAAAAAGAAATATATTGAAAACTTGAAAATGTGCGTACGCGAAAAGATTTTAGTTGATCTCTTGTTACATTTTTTTTGACTGATTGATCGAGCAGAGGGTATATGGCGGTCATTCTATCACTTACGCTTGTTTAACTCAGTGAAATAGATTAGAAAACAAAAAAAAAAATTTCAAGACACTAGTTGGCCACGATCCACCCCTATATAATCTGCATGACTTCGCTTAATACCGCTATTCATATAAGGACTTTTCAAAATAAGACGCTTTAAAGGAAGTACCTAAGAAAGTGGTCCGATCCGAACTATTTTCAATAGCATCCTTCGTCAAAATATCTGAAAAATTGCGACCTGTAGCTTAAAACCATGGACAGACATTAGACGGACAGGCAGGTGTAGAATCATCTTCTGACTATCGGTATAATAAATGGTGACTCGGTCTCAAATCGTTCATGGTGTTAAATACATTTGCACGACCATTGTGCAACAAGTGGTGTATGGCTTAATTACGAAATGATTTAAAAAAAACTGTTTGTTTTTAAAAAGTAATCTCTTTGAATGGGTCAAACTTGCGAAAAGAATGTGGACGATAAGCAAATTGGAAGTTAAGATGAAGTGCGGATGCGAACCTTTTTCGTAGAGGCGAAATATAAAAGTCAGAATGACAAGTTTACTACACTTCTCTCATTCTTCGTTTGTGGGCATAGAGATTGAAGCAGAAATTCTTACAAATTTTTGTATTGAAGTTTCGTAAGTACGTGGACGTGGACAGATTGTATCGATGTTTAACGTTTGCATGTGGCGTAAAGCCTTAATCAGACGAGTTCCCCAGAACCACCAGAATTGGACAATCTTTCCCAATCGAAGCAGGGCACTCATGACTTTGTGAGCGGGAAATCTGGCTGCCGTGGATTCCATAGTTCATAGCATGCTTTTGAATTATCGGTGTGTCACAGAAGAATAGGTGCGAGGTGTATTTTTCAGTTCTACGTCATAGAAAACTCCCTCCCACAACGTCTTTACATGCCGCAACATTATTTCGAATATCTTACGTGAGGTAGTTCTTGCAGTAAGCAGTTGAATTGGCTTTTAAGTCGTTTTAGCACCCACTGAAGAGTGAAATAGATGCGTCCTCTTTAAAATTATGGAAAGTAAAGAGTCTTGTAATATTTTGTTGTAAAAGTGGATTGTAAAGGTAAATCGTATTTCTTGAGAAAGAAATGTAATATGGATTGATTTTTATAATATTTCCAGATGAGTCAAGTAAATCATCGTAGTGAACAAAAAAGACTGCTGGTTCGTCAGCTGCCTAATTAGGAAAAAATATACAAATTTGTTGCCACATCATTAGGTCGGCCGCGATAACAATTTTGTCATGAATGTTTGAAACCAAAAAAGAAAAAAAAAAAAAAAATACTAAAAGAGAAACATTCGGAGCAATTAAAAACACTTGCCCTAGTTCCGATAATCGCACAATAATTTTAACAAAGCGACATCCCTTCAAGTCGTCTAGAGCAATTTCCAATGAAATTGGGAATTGTTCGTCGACGATTATGAGGTGTCAATTTACCAAGAAGAATAGGTCGGGAAGTTCCGTCGCTTGGAGTAGATAATTTGAACACTTTGTTTTAGTTCATAAAAATTGCGGCAGACCCGACTGCAGAAAAAAAAAAAAAAAACGTGGAGGAGCATACCTTGGAGCGACGGACCAAAAACAAATTTGTTTGGGAATGAAGAGGCGAGGAGAAATATACTTTGGCCGAAAGAAAAAAAACTCCACTTTAGGTTTAGTAAAAAAACAGTAAAGCATGGCCTAGGAAATCTTATGGTATTGAGCTGCTTTCCTTTGAAGGTTGTGGGCCTGATATATCTCAGGAAGCACTATGGATAGATTTGTATATAAAAACTTGTTTGAAACTGTAAAGTCACCGTACGCCAAAGTAAATAAGCCACTGTATGGAAATTTCAGCAGGATGATGACCTCTCCCGACCTCAACCCTGTTCAAAATGTTTGTGGAGGACTAACGGAATTGTGGAAAAATATTCAAAAAACCTTGACATAATAACTCTGCAGTAGCCTGCGATAATTAATTCCATCCTTGCCAACAAAACGTAAAGCTATCTTCAAAAACGATAGTGGTTATACCGACTACTGACTGTCTGAATTAATTTCTATCAAAGTGAATGCTTTGAATTATATATATATGTGTATATATGTATATTTTATTGTCCATCTGGAATTATGCGATATTTTTGAACTGAGCTTTTAAGTTTTTGTTTATATTTAATCGTTTTCAAATACAAAAATGTTCCCACTTTCCATATAAATAGTAAATATTATATGTTTCCATGTGTTTTGACCATTTTTACTGAGAAAAATCGCATATAAAGTCTAGAAGCAAGTGATTCATCAGCTACTAAGCTATCCGAAAGTTCTTTCAGTCGGCGTACACTGAATATAAATCGTTAATATTAGAAACTGTTATTTTATGTAAAGAAAAGTCAAAACAATCGAGTTCAGTTGTTATGTACGCTAGTGTTTCCCATCTCTTTATCAGTTTACCGGTAGACGTCGTTGACCAAAATGCATGGAAGCGCCTAATATATTAAATACATAATAGGAGGGAAACGAAAAGATGAGCACCTCACCAACCAACTATGCATACATCTAGTCCACCTCTGTGAGTAGCTCTGAAAATTGCTATTAATAAATAGTTATAAAAAACATTGTAACGTGAAACGAGGATGACGATAATCCCACGGATTTCAACCGTTATTTGGGCACCGAAGGCGTAGTTTACGTTTTTTCTCTGCCTTCTCATTTGATTTCGGTAATTTCAGGGTAAATACGAAACAAACCGGCCAAAGAAGAGAGGCTCTTTCTGAACTGGAGATGCGAACCCGCGAGCTTACTTCAATACGTATGATTTTATTTGCAAACTACCCGACGCTTAGCAAATACAACCAAAGACACCTCCTATTGATATGACGATAAATTTGCACATATATAAAGCAACAGAAAAGCTACGATATTTTATAACATACTCTTAGGGTCACAACAAAATTCTACTACGTCGGTGCGTTCTACCATTAATTTTTATGTTATTTGTGAACATTGAACGCACTTTTTTGTCGCTTTAGAAATACGCTTCAAGTGTTCCTTAGTCAGCAAGTTTGCGTCAGTTCTGCTGTAAACGTCTGCCGTCTTTTGTCAATACTCGTACAAAAAGATTACTCATATCTTTAGATTAAATTTGCGAGTAAGGCGTGATCTGATTATGAATATTTTTCGAAAAGCCCACATAGTAAAATAACCTTAAAAGGAAATTGAAGATTCCTAAATATGGACACGTATGCGTATGTAAAAATGGAGATTCATAACTTGAATACTTATTAGAATCGCGCTTTTGAGCAAAAAAAAAAAGAAGAAAATTGGTCTTCCGAGGGCGTTTGTAATCTGAAATCTGTGTGCAGTTCTATAGTGTCCCAGAATATCCGTGCCATGACATAGATATTTTTACAAGTTATTAATGTTATTGAGTCTTCTGTCCGTGACATCTATTAATATAATTGTTACTTACTTTAAAACATTGACATAATAGCCGGTAGTTATTATAGCGTTAACTACGACATCCACTGGAATGTAATCCATGATAATGGATGGATCCAAAGGTAAGCGTCTTAAAACGCCTTTAGAAGCGCCCATGAAAAAACCTTGTGGTCCATTTTTCGAAATAGTCCAACCAGGTTTGGGCTCGCGCCAAGCCGCCGTAACTTTGGAGTAAAAAGAAGATTTAAAAAATCTTATATATAGTTTGAAAAGTTTCTATAGCTTACTCATACTAGGCCGAACGATACCGCAAGGGAATTTCGCAGCCACTTTTGCTACTTCATGTTCTGCTAAATGCTTAGTAAATGTATATGTATTAGGATGGTCCTTCAAAATGCTAATATATAAATTTTTCATTATTAGCGAACACAAATTTTATTCCGTTTCCCGGGACTTACTCTGCTTCTAATTTACTTAGAGCTTCTTCATTTAATGTTTCCGTCAAATCTATGATTTTCTCCGGATCATCTGGTGCTGGATATAATTTTTCCTCCACCTCAGTTATATAAGAGTTAGCGTAGGCACTGGATATGTGCACTAATGCTTGTAACTTGTTTAATTGCTTACACAGTTCCACAACACGGCGAGTTCCTAGCAGATTAATGTTTGTTGTTTCTTTTAAGCTTTGCATAAAATCAAGAGTGGCAGCCGAATGAAACACCACATGAACATTATCAATCAAAAGTTGACGATCCTGCTCATTTATACCCAAATTTTCAAGGCCGACATCTCCCTCGATTGGAACAATTTTCTCGAAGCGTTTTTCAAATTGTTCCTCTTTGAGTCGCCTAAATACGGAATTCTGTTTCAATTCTTCTAAACGTTCCTGCACAGATTTGCCTTTTTTCGCGCGTATTAATATATAAACAGTGGCGATCTGCGGTATATCACGTAGCAATTTTTCTATTAACGCTACACCCACAAAACCCGTTGCACCGGTAATGAAAACATTTTTATTACCATAAAATTCTTTAATGGATGAATGTTGTTCATTTCTGAAAAAATATAAATGAAATTATTATTATTAAAATTAAATATAATTTTTTTGTTGTAATCACTTCTTATTTTAGTGGATTCATTTTGCTTTTCCAAGTTAGCAAGCATTCATTGTTCTCGTCTTTTGTTCATTGTCGGTGAGATTAATTTTTTGTTTTCTATGGCGCGATTATCAATGAAAATTTGGCCAAAATTACGAAAAAGATTGATAGAAAAATAAGCAAGGAAGTTACATTCGGTGGGCCCGAAACTCGCATACCTTCAACTATTCTTTTCGCATTTTATTCTTTTGAGTTCATTTATTTGATACCCATATTGTTGGTATTATTAACAAAAAATTAATCGCGTTGTCTGCCATAGTCATTTTAAAGTTAAGCCATTTTTAGCCAGATAATATATCTCATTCCGCCTTGGGTGCTGTATGTCTGATAAATAAATTTAAAAACCTCAAAAAAGTGAAAAAAGCAATTTTTAATCATTTTTAACTTTGTGCGGGCATAGACGATTGCTTCCATTTTCGGAACTAAAGTAAGTAAAGTAAATTTGTTCAAAACGAATATATCCCTCATCCAACGGTGGCGGGTATAAAAAAAGAAAGAAAGAATGAAAAAATATCTATTACTTTGTCTCCGCGCTTTAAAACATGTTTAAAATATGTACGTAGTGTCGCCGGTAATATCTAATCTCTGCCTTCAGAAATTGAATGAAGCTTCAGTTGTAATCAAAAGCAAAAATGATTGAATTCCTGTTTATACAAATTACGAAAATTGAACTCGACTGTGGTCGAATCTTTCATGCCCACCGCCATTAACTTTATCGTATAAGTACTAATTATACCTTTCATCACTTGTGGTACAGGGTGTATTAAGTTAGTGTGGACGTATGTAACATCCAGAGGGACTTAAGGTAGATCGATCTTTTATAATACCGATCGATTCAGAATTATTTTCTAAATCGATTTAAGCCTATCTGTCCGTTCATCTGTCCATGTCACAATTTTTTAGATATTTTGTTAGAATTTATTATCTACTTTGACCCTGAGAAGAATGATATAGAAAAAGGTTCGGATCGGTTCACTTTTTCGAGTATTCGAGTGTATGTCGCCCTATTCTGAAAACTCGTTATTTGGAAAAAAATTGCAATTTTCAAAAATTCTTAGCAAAAGTGATTAGGTAATAGTATTTCGGCACTCTAAATTGATGTGAAACCTTTGGATCGGCTGTGGCAATTTTGTGAGCTCGCTCGTATGCGGGCTCTCATGAAAAGTATGCCTTTACATGCAAATAATGTGTGGTGTGTTATTGCGAAAACGAGCGAGTAACTGTACTGGACGAAATGGTGTAGCATATAATATGGTCGATGTCGTCCGGTTATAATATTCTTACTTTTTTTATCACATCTTATTTCGCTACCGATAGAATAAAATTGATTCCAAAAGTCACTATTATTAGATGAGCGTTAATGGAGTTTAGAAGTTTTGCGCGAATTTCTTTTCATATTTTTATTTATGGGAACGTGTCATCCGTTCCCATTATTCGCCTAAAAATCTATACAATGTACAATGTTCCTTCCATTGGAAAAAGGACTTAAGGATAATGAATAAAAAACCACGGAAAAATATCGATTTTATAATAATGAGTAGGTGTGCCCCATTTTCTTCCAAGCAAAGACAATGAATTTTCATGCAAAGAATTGTTTACGTTACGAGAAATATGTAGAAAACGTCAAGAAAGTATGAAGCTTACAACTTCGTGTGGACGTGCGACGATTTTTCCCATTTCTGAATATGAATAGTAGGGTGTTCCATAAAGTAAATTTAGGGAGAAAGTTGACTATCTTTCATATTTTATAAGTAATGCATAAAAGTCCAAAAATTCATGCTTAGGGAAACTGAATTGCTTTTAATTGAAGCGTTATTGCAGGCATATATTTTGGCCGACTTAGACCATTTTCAATATAAAGACACTTGCAAGAACTTCCAAGGTTTCGGCAAATTGTAAGACGATATCTTAATTTTTGTGATCGGTGGGGTGTCAACAATACGCTTCGCCACAGACGGATAGACATGGCTAGATTGATGCACCCCTAAAGCTATAAGGGTTGTGCCTGTTGCAGGCGTTATGACGAAATGACTATACCGCCATCCATCGGTGATGGCGTTAAAAAAATAATATAAAATAGCAAATTACTATAAATGACATCAACGAGTACATTAATTAAATATAATCTGGTAAATTTCCAAGCAGTACGCGTAAATGAAAATATTTATTATTTATTATCGTTTTGAAGCGAATACACATTACGAGTCTAGACTTACAGTCAGTTTTTTTTTAAATGTCTTCAAAGGATATCCGACTTAGAGAAAACGCATCCCAATATCTAGCAGCACGAACAATAAACGTACTTTCGATAGATGGGTTGAGCGAATGTGGCATTATTTTGAAAGGGTTTCTATTCGATCCAGAGAACTGTGGGCGTTCGAATAAAAGGCTAGGGGATCGACTTTGCATGATTTTGCAGAAATAGATAAGCAGCCCGAATTTAGGATAATCAGGAGAGGGGAACTTCAAGCAAGCATGAACGAAGGAGGACACGTTGTTTCTTTGATATGTATTGAATTTTAGGTTAATATTCCTTATATATAGTAAGGCGCAGCTTTTGATTATATAGTAAGACGTAACTTTTTGGTGTGATGGTTAATTTTGTTGCTTTAGCGGAGAAGTGAATGGGCGAACTTCGAATTTTGTTAATTTAGAGAGGAAGTAAATGAGCGACCATTTGTTAAAATGTAAATATTGGAAATATTTATTCTCCTTTCTCCACATTGAGGGTATTAGAAATATGCCTCTCAGAAATAGAATGGATTAAAATATCCAATAATGCATTAAATCGCTTAAGGACCTTAGTTTCGGAGTTAAATTTTCCTCTCTCTCTATCTCTATCGGGATCGGGGTGGACATGGCCGTCTCCACTTAATATTAATTTTTATTCACAATTACGTAGATTTTATAAAATTTGTCAGGCGAATTGCCGCGTGACGCATCGGCGGTAAAAAAGATTTATTTTGTTTGAAATTTTTACGACTACCTTTGATTGCCTTTCACAGTTTCGTTTGCGTTTTAAACGGGCAAGTTAAGCCTAGTCTTGGAATTTGTCTCTACGGATGTATAGCAAAATGTAGGAGTTTTCGTGCATGGCTTTTATGCTTGCATTAAATATAAATAACTTGCAAGCGCCTACGAGCTTTATTTCGCAATTCGCAAATGGTTTTAAGTGCCTTTGAAGCTAATTGAAGGCTGTATAAGCTTCACCTTGGAGCCAACATAGTTTTCTCACTTATTCCATAAATGTCTGATAAGTTCCAAGTAATATTTCTACAAAATAACTTCATATTACCATATTATGCCGGACATAATGTTTACGCATCTTACCATAACACACTTTTGATATATCAAAAAAAAAGTTGGTTTGCAAGTTGTTGAGAAAATCATTTTGAAATATTTCTTCATTTTTTTTGACAATCATTTCAGAAGCCAATGTTGCTTGTGAAGTGTATGCAAAATTTTTGATTTCATCACTTAAAACCTTCAAATAAAAATAAGTCATTGCTCCACTCTGAAATATATCCGAAAATGTTTTTAAGCATTAAAGTTCTTACTCATCGACACAGCTGATAAAAATTTAGCGTAGAATGTTTTTTTTCTTTCTGTAAATAATTGTGGCTTAAAGAATTTGTTGCAAATTTTTTTCGTCCGTCATTTATTCTTATTTTTGTACGCACGTTGGTATGCATTATTATTAATTGTGTTATTTGTATTTGCTTTTTTACGTTTTTTATTGACATAATGTAAAAATTACATTATAGTTTGTCACTTACTCCATATTGTACGGGTTTTGTCTTTGGATCTCTTTTTTGTAAACTCAACGACTTCAACAACCGGTTAAATCAATGAGAAATATTGCTTGCGTTTTTCTTATTAAATTTTCACACACTTTACCGAAAAAGAGAGCAGAAGAGAAAAACAGATGAAAAAAGATGTATTTTATTTTTTTCTTATCCGATTTGTCCGATATGTTAAGAAACGTTAGGTTGAACAAAATTTCGAAATTTTACTTTATTAATATTAATTTTAATTTGAAAAAGACTGCGTACATTAGGCACTTTTGAATTATTTGAAAGAAGAAAAGCAAATGAAACGAGCGAAACAAATGGCTGTGTTTTAACTATCATTCGAATTTCAAACATGTTTGAAAGGCCTCGAACATGTTGTGTGTGTATTCGGTGCTTTGAAAGCCAACGCTCACAAATATTTGTAGGCAAAGTAAATTTTACTCTCAGAAATTGAATTTCATATTCTCAGCATATTTTGGCATCCATACGAAATGTACAGCAAAGTAAATTTTACTCTCAGATATAGAATTTTATTCTCAGCAAAGTCAAAAACGTTTTTTTTTTTGGAGAAAAGTAATGACTAAATTAAAAAAGTTTGTAGATTTTTACTCAGCAAATCTTATTTTTCTGTTTTTCAGTTCCGAGTAAAGCAAAATATTACAATAACAATGCTACATTACGGCATAACGTAAACATATGGAAAATTTCGAAGCTTGAATGATAACTCTTATGGGGAGAAGGAGTGGAATTCATAAAATGGATTGTTGAAATTCCAAATTTGGTATTACTAATATTTATGTTAAAGAACTCGAACGAAGTAATTTTCATTTTTGTTTACTTCTTATAAGAGCATGGGGCGAGTGAGGGTTTTGAAACAGTCGACCCATTCCTATCCAAATTTTTCAATTGAATATAAATCAATTTCTCGGTAGTAGTTGCAAAGCTTGAATGGGCTGACGTCGTTCAATATTTACGTGTTTTGCTAGTTTTGCTTATAAGTTTTTTTTGATGAAAAATCGTAGACGATGGAGATAGAGATTTTTTCATTCTTTATATGCCGGATAATTACGTCATAAACATATATGCATATATTATCTGTCATATTTAGAATTATTTGATATATGTAATTTATCATTGTTCTGATAAACGAGCCAAAAGCGTATCAGAGTTTCACCTGTCTTTTTTTCATTTTTTTTTTTTTTCATATAATAATAACGATGTGAGTTTACAATAAGTATGATAACTATTTTATGAATGTCGATAAATTGCAATTGTTAGTAGAGAAATTTTTTTTTAGTGGGTATAACTAATATTATTATTATTATTGTTATTAATACTAAATCTTAGAATTAATGACACTACGTGTTTCTTACAATAAAATACACTCAACACTTTGATAACACGCATCCATTTTTATTTTGCACTGAGATATAGATGTTATTCTCAGTAGATATGCCGGTCGATAGTTATTAACGACGAAGATCAAGTGAGTGGGCATAAACCGACTAACTGCTTATCATAGTATTTCCTCAATTGGACTTTGTTGCTGTATGCAAAAGTTTCTGTGAGACACTGTCAAAATTAGAATTTAAAAAAAATTTCTTGTTTTTTGTATTTGCGCTAGAACTAAAACTTCGTGTAAAAAAAGTCGATTCGCTTTAATTGGTGGACAATGTTATTGCCAAATTATGTAAGAAAAAAACATGTTAAAAATCGTTGGATGTATATGGGAATAATTGCATAAAACTAAGATACTAAAGTAATCTTCTATGAAATCTTAAAGAATTAGATTAGAGACAACTCTTCTAGTGCGATATATGATTGTAAAGGAGATAGTAAGACTAAACAAGTACTAGCGAAAACAGCGCAGAGTGACACAGCTCAGCCTACATCGCTTCGCCTAATGCAATTATTCATATAATGACCTTTTAAAATAAGCTTTTGTATGAGAAGTATTCGAAAAAGTGATCCGATACGAACTATTTGCAATAGCGTTCGTCCTTGGGTTAAAACATGTCAATGTACAAAAATGCACCAAAATATCTCAAAAATTGCGAATTGTACGTTGAATATAATAAATCAAAACGGACAAGTGGACAGACAGGCTTAGATCGATTTAGAAAGGGATTCTGAAACTAGGGTCTTTCTCAGGTTCTTCTGAGTGTCGTATACGTCATTACAAATTTTGATATAACTTTGTATGACAAATGACGTGGGGCAGAATGAGAAAAACATCCAGTGATAAAATCCTTAAATAATACCCTGATGCGAAGTAAAAAGATTTTGGTCAACCATGGCCCACCATTAAATACCCTACATCGATCCGTTTAACACAATTATTTATGTAACTATTTTTCAAAATAAGGCATTATGTGGTCCAATCCGAGTAACTTTCAATAGTGTTCGCTTTTGAATCACAAAACCCTTTGGAGTACCCAACTTCATTCGAATATCTCTAAAACCCCTAAGTTGAACGCAGAAGCACGTGAAGATGTGTACAACGAACAGTTTTCTTATTGATTCAGAACGTGATGTAGGAAAAGGTGGTCTCTCTGTGTGTTACCTACATCTACATAAACTTCATGTAGATATGTATAAATATATATATGTGTATATATGTATATAAATGCATATGTATAGAGAGATATTAAATCTTAATTTATGACTATCACGCAGCGATGCAAGTGTTACAGAACGCCTTAGGTGCAATTGCAAACCTGAGCAAGTTAACAATCGCTTTGACACCCACTGGTGAAAAATTCAAAATCTTTACATATCTTTTAATAAAAAACAATATTGACGATGCGACTCGATATTAGATATTTGCGCAATGTAATGAAATTTGTCAAACAAGTGCTCCGGAAGACGGGGTACAAATAGTTTTAGGATTAAAAATTGAAGTTTCTAATATGTAGGTAAGTAGCCAGAGGATCTTATGTGACAAGAAAACATATTGGATGACCGGTAAAAAGACCGGTCAGACTACGGCTCATAATTAAGTTTTTAGCATACATAAAGCGCCAAGGTTTCCTTTAGTATTTTCATTACTACAGAGTTGACAGCGAGTCATCTGCTGTCAATCTAGAGTTAACTTGATATCTAAGATTGGTCACAGTAATGACAATCTCTTATTAGTATTATTATTGTTATTATTGTTATTATGCACAATTATTATGTAATTATGTACAATTTTCGTAAACAATTACATTCAATTAAAATGGTGAAAGGGCAAAATTATTTTATTACTGAATTAATTGAATGCATTCAGTTGCAACGGAAACATTGAAAAACTTCTATAAAGGATGGAAGCATTCGTATGAATGTTTCCAGATTTCATAATGAAACTCTTATTAACATTGAATTCTGATTAAATCCTATACAAAACCATTTAAAACGAAAAGGTTGTAGCATCCCGTTGAGGCAACTTCCGTGGATCAGCGTATTCCCTTCTCGAGATCAAGTGCGATTGTTCAGGTAGACCGAGCTCGATTGCAAAGACACAAATTGGGAATAAATTTCCTTTTTCCGGCAGTTCAATGTAATTTTGTCTGTATATTAATATCAGCTTATGAGCTTAACGCAGTGTGCGATCGCATCTGAAGGATGTTAGGTGTTACTCAAAAATTGGGTTTATAATTATCTGTCCTATTTTGACAATATTCAGTTATTCAGACCACAGAAAAACATTTGAGGGCGCATGCAGAAGGGCTTAAGATAGATCAAACTTTTATTATACCGATCGATTCAGAATCGTAATCTGAATTCATGTAAGCCACCTTCTGTGCGTCTGTCCGTCCGATGTCTGTCCATGTAGATTTGTGTTCAAGCTACAGCTCGCAATTTTTTGAGATAAAGTGATGAACTGTGTTAAAGTGATGCGGTTTGCTTTTAAAAATCCTTTGGATCGATGCACTTTTTCGACGCCCTATTTTGCAAAGTCTTTATGTGGAAAAAAATTACAATTTTCAAAATCTCTCAGCAAAGTTCGCTTAGTAATAGCATTTGGACATTTTAAATTGGTATGGAAAATTTGGTTTGGCAGGGGCAATTTTTTGAACCCTCTCTCATATAACCCTTTCTATGAAAACCGAATCTTAATATAGTAAAGGGATATAACTTTTAATATTTCATGGTGAATATTAGTTCCTAATAGTAAATTAATATAGAAATCAACCTCACCGAATTTGGAACAAGTAGGTCTATATTTTGGATGCCTTCCCCCGTATGCGAGCTTTCATGAAATGTATGCGAGCTTTGCATGAAAATTATGTGTAGCTTTGCGCCGGAATTATTATCGAAAGTGGTGAATAACTGAATTAAGTGAAGTGGTGTAGGGTATCTATGGGTCGACCTTGCCCGACTATAATTTTTTTTATTTGTTTTGAATGTAAAAGCGCGCAAAAGCTCTTTGGTAAAAGTAAATGAGTTCTCAATTCGCTTTTTGATATCTTTAGGTTGTCTATTTTCACGCTTCATTCACGTTTATTTTCCTTTGTGTTTTCTTGTTCGCCGTCTACTTTCACGCTCTTCTTTTAAATGGTTTTTATTATTTTGCATAAATTGGGTAAAACTGTGTAAATAAGATATGCTTGTTAACTGACGTTTATAAAATTACTAGCATTAGTAAGTACTTTCTAAAATTAACAGTTATTTTAAATATTTCCTCTTCACGACCTCTTTAGGGAATTTTTTTGTGCAGAAACGATTCCATGCCTCGAAGGGAAAACTCTTTGCCGAAAAAAAAATGGAATATTGCTTACCTGTGTGTCCGTAAGTGTGTTATATCAATCACTTTTATTTATATCAAATGTTTTCGACAACATTCTCGGCATATAAGGAAGGGTGAGGAGAATTTTGATGAAAGATGATTGTATCCACTTTGGTTCCCTGCCAAATCTAGCCTTGTGAGTTAAATTTATGATAATAAAAACTTTCAATAACATCATAAGTATTTATAAGTAATTATAACTAAATAATAAATAAATGCATAGACAATGGAGAAGATTAACGTAAGTGCTTTCGGTTTATTATTTGGAGAATTCAGAAAATTGTTTGCTCTAAAGGCTTACTTTGAAAACTAATTTATAAAACTTTTATAAAATAAATTTACTTTATTACCACATACTGCACTTGACAGTGTATTTATATGTTAACTTTGTACTTTTGCTGATGTCATCCAACATGGCTACATCCATGGCAGGCGTGTTAGACACCGTAGATAATATTTTAAAGGTATTTGGGCTTTGGATCACTTCATCCAATTGAATTTGTAAAAAGA